GGACATGCAGGTTTGTGATTAAACAAAAACTATGCATCCAGAAAAACCCAGAACTTTTTTATTTTTTAGATCTGATTTACTTGCTTGTTTTATAACTTACAGACAATCCGCACAAGTTGACATGTATGTTGTTATTTATTTGCCTTCTGGGAAAGCAAATAAATCTAAGTTTACCACAGTACCTTACACTGTCAAACTTGTTTTTATGGGTTCAAATTGGGGTGGGTGGGACACAGTTTGGTGTGGGGGGGGTTGCGCTTCAACTCGCCTAGGGCACCAAAATGGCCAGAGCCAGCACTGCCAGGACTCCTAGGGGTCTTTGAGAGGTCTCTTGGGGGTTCTCAAAAAATGTCACTACATTGTTAGTTTTGTTTTTATTTTTAAAAATGCATGGAGAACAATGGAACTCTAAAGGATTATTTGTGTCTGTGTTAAGAGTCGCACACTTAAGATCCTCTAGATTTCTTCAAACATTTAATAATAAAACGTAGACAGGAATGTGCAAATCAGCTCTCATTTTACATTAAAGAAAAAGTTTTAGGTACAAAAAGCTTGATGCACAACAGAAAAACGTAACAATATCAGTTGTGATGAACCTGTTAGAACATCTAAACTGCCAATTATGCAGTTTTTCTTCTGCTATCCTTGGGAATAGAGAACTGATATGGAAATACCAATCAATTTTTAATAAACTGCACAACCTTAAATTAAAGTTTGTTTCACGTTTTAAATGTACTAAATCCTAAAAGCAGGGATGCATTAAAACCTACAAATCAAAACATGAAAATGACCGTATTTATGCGTGTATAATGCACTTCGAGTGTGATGCGACTTTTATTTTTCGAGTATAAAATGCATTAAAAAATCCAATCCTCGTGAATAATGCTAACCCTTGTTTCATACAGACTTTTTCAGCCTTTGCGCTGTAACAGATGCTTTTAGTGACACACACTCGTGTGGACGTGTTTGTGGCTGCGGAGGCGGAAGATGATCCGTGTACCCCCTCCCCCAACTTTAAGGATGATTCTTGGGGTTAAATTTCTGGGATTGTACACGCAAAAATACAGTAATATGTGACTCATCATATCGAAATGAGGATTAAGTCAAATTTGGTCAAAATGACCAAATGACATTTTGAGATTCCTGGTTTAAAAGCTACATTTTGACAACTGGATCATCCTGATTTCATAAACAGAACCAGAGAAACGCCCTAATTTGTCTTGTTGGTTATGATAACACATTAATATTTGGTCTGAATCTTAATTTTCTGTAATTTTAATGAGGAATTTCTAATTTCATTATGAAGAGGAAATCTCAAATAGTTTTTAAATATTGACATTTCCCAGCTGGATAGAAACAAAAACTTTGCTAGCTCACAGGGAAAATCTCACAATTTAGAGGGATTTGCCCTCAAAATCAGGTTTTTTGTTACTACTGCTCAAAAAAAGTGCTTAAATTATTTTTYATGATTATATTTCACACAGTTCATTCAAATGAAACACAGATAAAGCATTCAATTTTTGTTAGTGTTTTAATCAGAACACTATGTCCATTTCTCCATACACCACTATTAGGTTTAATCCTCGTCTCCATGTGATGGGTCACATATAAGAACAAAAATAAAAATCAAAGCAAATGTTTGAATCCGTCACTTTAGTCTCAATTTTTTCTTTTTTTTATTATTTCCTAACCCCAATACCCCATCAGCGTGACCCAGTTTGTGTCAGCTGACGTATTGCGCCGATCAGAGCTAAGGACATTATCACAGATTAGAGAGGACGGAGAGCCGTGGAAGGAGGTGGAAACGGGAGGAAAGAAGTTGGGTAAAAGTGGTGGAAAAGCACAGGTAAACTAAAAACAATCAAACACTCTCACCTATTTATGTGCAGCTGATTTATTTTATTAGTCTTGGAAGCTAAATGAGAAAAGCACTAGGGCTGTGTATTGGCAAGAATTTGGCGATACGATACATATCATGACAGAGGGGTCACGATACGATATATCCYGATATATTGCGATACTATAAGCACGGCGATATATTGCAATTTTTTTGTCCAAAAATTCTATTAAATAAAAACCTCTTACAGGGAAAAAAAAGAAAAACCAAAATTCATTGTCTCAGAAAATTCTAATATTACATAGACATRCTTTTGATACATTTAGCTGTGTTCTGCTTTGTATGTGTTTTATTTTATTTGTTTCATATTTCTTATTTCATACATGTTTTCAATTATTAGACTTAATTTGACAATAAATAGTTTGAAAATATATTTTTGCAGCTTTTAGTTTTTAACATTAATTTACAATATGGTCACCCAACACTTAACAATAGCCTCTACCTCAAGAGGTAGAGGAGCCAAATGTCTGGCTCACTGCTGCCAACTAGTGGTCAGAGGCTGAAATACAACATAAAAATGAACAGCTGGCAGGAAAGTTGACATTTTAAACCTTAATAAAAAAAAATCGATACAGGGCTTTAGAATATCGATACAGTATCGGGAAATGAAATATCGCGATATTTCAGTGTATCAATATTTTCTTACACCCCTAAAAAGTACGTGTTGCACTGTCAGGACACTTGATCCTACTACAGGACACTGACTTCAGTCAACAAAGCTGTTTACTCTCTGCAGGCACAGAACGGCCTTGCACGTTTTTATTTATTTTATTTATTTAACCTTTATTTCAACAGGCAAAATGTTAAGAACAGTTTCTTATTTACACTGTTGGCCTGAGAGTGCAGCCCACATTCCTCCCTTCACTTCTTTACCACCCGTCCACTCCCCCGTCTTTAAACGTTTATCTTTACACACCGTGGGTCACTTCCAAACTTAGACTGGTAGTCATAAAGTGTGAAAGGCGTTTACACAAGCAGCACTGACTGTCCGTGTGATGAAACAGGAAACACATTCCTTGATGCTCCAGTCAGCCGCAGAGGAGCGACGACCAGTTCTTTGAAGAGGATCCACAGACATCAATCCAAGGACTTCCCATACAGACCCAGACACCATTAGCCCTGCCGTAAATCACCAAGGAAACAGCTGCCGTTTCCCTGGCAACCTCATACGTGAGAAGCTGGCAGTTTCGGTAAAAAAATAAAATAAAATAACTTAAATAAATAAGCATGACTGGCATCTAAAACAGTGTGGCAGATATAAGGCAGAATGAGACTGGACTCAGGCCAGTTCAGTGTTTTTTGGATAATTTCCTGTCTTTTTTTTCTTCCTCCTTTTCTACTGTTCCATCCCACACTCTCTCCTCTTCTAGCGCTCTATTCATCCCCCCTTCAGCATCCTCTATGGCTCTTTCATTCTTCCTCATTTACGATGTCCTTCTAATTAAATTAAGGTGAACTGCAGGTATCTTTTGCTCTAAACACATATAAGTCTGTTGTGTGATCTGAAGATAAGGACACACTAACAGGTGAAACATTATTTCCTGCAGGAGGAAATTGAAATGGTGGCACTTCTGACAACTCCCACCAGAGCTCCACAGGGTAGATACCGGGGGGTGGGGGGTATAAGGTAAGACGGCCAGAGATAAAGAGTAAAAAGAAAAAAAAAAACAAAGCTGACAGGGCTGATGCAGATCTGCACCTATCGCATGGTTTTATATCACCATGGAAGCGGCGCTGCGTGGTGAGTGTAACAGCACCTGTCGCTGCGCCGCTTCTCCTCTCTGCAGTGCCAGAGAGCTGAGGAGATCAGCTGTGGTGACGTCATCAGGCTCTCTGTAGCCATGTGCTCAGATCTCACATGGCTACAGAGAGAGAGAGAGAGAGAGAGAGAGAGAGAGAGAGAGAGAGAGAGAGAGAGATTTACAGGTTCACATGGTGAGACGAGTCAAGAATAAAGAAAAATAAGACCCAGATGTTTGTGTTTACAGTAAGTGATGATTGGATTGTTGCTGAACAGACAAACATCATGATTTAAAAAATCAAAAAACTTAAAATATGCAACAGAGCAACATATTAATAATGCTCTGATTATGTGTGCAGTGATGTAAATATTGTTCATGTTCTGAGTACAATCTCTCAGAATAGAATCAAATCTAGGCGAGCTGTCTGTCAATCAACTAGGGTTGGGCGATATTGGCAAAAAAATTAATCACGATTAATTGTGGTATTTAACCATTAATTTGACGATTAATCCCCTGGAGTCCCTGTACACACTTATGTCCTGGTCACATGACCAATTTAGTGGGAAAGACTCGTATAAATCTGTTCCAAATTGTGTCAAAATTACCGACTTCAGGCTATACATCAATTTTTAAATTGTGTTGATAAATAAATTACAGAACCTTTTTTTTAATGTTTGTCATTTTTGAAGTGGAGAGGAGCATCGAGCAGACTGATGGTGGCATTAATCGTATTAATCGTCAAGTGCCAAAAAATAATCGATTAATGTTTTTCTGACGATTAATTGCACACGATACGATTATGCCCAACCCTACAAACAACACAGCAACAAAAGATCTGATTGGATATAATTATACTGTAGATCAGTGTTTCCCAAACTTTTCAGCTTTTGACCCACAAAATACCAGCAGCAGAGACCTGAGCATCAAACAAACACATCAAACACATCAAATAAACAAGAGCATATAACATTATTTATTACTTTATTTTTGTCCATTTTAAGCACACTAATCTTACTATTTTGTAACAACAAAGGCAAAAAATGTTGTTAGTTGTCATTTTTTAGTGAAATTAATTCAGAAAATATTTTCAGGACCCCACCTTGATGTTTCAGGGCCCCACTGTGGGTCCCGACCCCAGCTTTGGGAACCACTGCTGTAGATGATAACAAGGTGTTGACACATAACTATTTTTTTTCCATACATTTTTCAGCATCTAACTCRTTGCACATTTTTTGTGCTTTCTCAACCATTCACTTATCAAAATGTTCATCTCCTTTAGGCTGTGAATGTTATGACCTGTGGTAACACAGCAACTTGTACTTTTTCAGCTATTTAGCTTTTTCTGCTATTTTTATTGCATTGAAAACGTATGATGTCATCTTCAACATCCTGTGCCAATTTCAGCTTATTTTAACTGTTTTTTGTGCTAATTTTAGATTTTTTTTCCATATTTTTCAGCTGTCTTTCTGCTCCTTTCTTCTGTTAAYTTAAACTTTTTAGGCTTCTATCAACATCTTCTTCTTAACTTAGGCTTTCTAATGATTTCTGCTCATTTTAACTGTTTTAGCTACTTTGTAGCTATTGTCAGTTTTTATCTAAATTCACCTTTTTGTGATAATTTCGGCTTCTTACTGCTTAATTCAGCAAATGTGCTCTTTCTGTGGTAATTTCAGCCTTTTCAGCTACTTTTTAGACATTTTTCTGCTCATTTTGACTGCTTTAACTATTTTACTCCTCGTGTTTTTCTGTGAATGTGAGCTCTTTTACCTCTTTGTTCACAATCTGCCAATCCAATTCAATTTCAAATCATTTCTGCTATGGTCTACTTCCCGCCTCCCTACTTTCAGCAAAATCAGCTGATTAAATTTAACTCACATCACTACATTTTTACAGGAAATGAAGACCTCCAGTTTATGTTCAGAAATGACCGACCATATTACTAAATGTCAGTTTTAGTTGATTTGTTTCATTATTTAAAACGTGTTATATACAGTCCCTCTGAGATCTGCTCTCTGGAGGGTTGTTGCTCTCAGTCATCTTGTTCCCCATCCCACGGCCTGATTTAGATTTTTTCACTGACTTTCCATTGCATCCTGCGTTGAGTTCAACATATCAAAGGGTCCACTGCACCGACTGTCCGTCCAGGCTGCCGTTCAGTTTTGTGCGAATAAAAAATTCCTCCCGTGGTTTGATTTTGTAGACTCAAAAAAAAAATCCCCTCCTCAGACTTTATAGATCCCTGTAGCAGTATACTTGATGTCAAATTTAAAGAAAGCATTAGTTTTCCACACCTAAAGCAAATTAAACATTTTCTAATAAAATATTACCTCTGTCACCTTTTAATAATATTTACTTCTTGGATTGTGTCAGTTTCTATGTGTTATCTTGATTTAAATTGCTTAGTATAAGATTAATTAGCCTCGTGTTCTCATAAAGACGTTATATAAAATAGTAAATACAAAAAGAAAAATAATTGTATAGGTCTTCTGGATGGTTCTTCTCTAATGAAACGATTCGTCTCTCCTCCAAGAGACTTCTTCAGTCTGAGAGTTTCAGGCAAAATTCAGGCTTTTAAGTCCTGCCTCCATGTGACTGATACTCACATCACATGGCTATAGTTCACTCCTAATTAATACCTATTGTTAACAGGGGGTGGAGTGATACTGCCAATGGCAGCGCTGTAGGAGGGGGACAGCTGAAAACGGAGGCCTCCACCTCTGTTTAATGATGGTCTTTCTTTACAAAAATGGCTTCTTTTACTCCTCTCTCAAGAATGAGAACATCCTCATCTCTGAAAGAGTGACCGCTGGCCTGTAAATGAGTGAAAACTGCAGAGTTCTGGCCATTAGATGTAGCTCATCTGTGTTGGGACATTCTTTTGAACAGTGGCTGCTTTGTTTCCCCGATGTATAACTGGTCGCAGTCCTCCTGGCACTTAACAGCATATACAATATTGCTCTGTTTGTGCCGGGGCACCGAATCTTTGGGGTGAACCAGCCTTTGCCGTAGTGTGTTTTGGGGTTTGAAAGCTACTGGGACATCATGTTTAGAAAATAAACGTCTCAGTTTCTCCGAAACACCCGCAACATACGGAATAACCACTGGTTTGGGTCTGGGTTTGGGTTCTTCATTTTCACCTGAAGGTTGCATGGAGTCCTGTCTGTGTTTCCTGTCTGCTTTCAGGAAAGCCCAGTCAGGATAACCACACTGCTCCAGGGCCTGTCATGTGTGTGATTTCTCTTTCTCCCTGGCTCCTGGGTTTGTAGGGACACTGTCTGCTCTGTGGTACAGAGTCCTGATCACTCCTAACTTGTGTTCCAGTGGGTGGTGGGAGTCAAAACGCACGTAGTAAATACACTGCAAAAAGTAAAGAAAACATTTGATTTGTTCACCCTCCCTTTTTACAGACTGATTCATATCCGTTTGTTTGATGGAAAACCAACTGTCACAGCACACCGACCAACACTGAACGGTTCACAAACCAACAAAACTCACATTGTGTGTCAGTCACACAGGCAGGACAGAGAGGCCGAGGCTTCTCTCAGAGCGAGAGGAAAGTCGTTTTTTTTTTAAGCGTTAACACTACGGTTTGGTAGAAAAACACGTACCTGGATGTAACGCAGCGCACTGCGCAGAACGCTGAGGTTGGAGGTTTTCTTCTCATCAACGTTTGGAATGTTCTTCTTCAGTGTTTCAAAGCATTCTTTGAGGTGCGCTCTCCTGAAATGTTCAGACATTAAAAAAAAGAGTTCATTTTGGCAACACGTKAACATTCATCGGTATTATTCTGAGAATTTAAACAGGATGTTTTGGTTCAGGATGAATTTCACAGCTTCCCGTTAGCTTTTCAAACTCTTTTATTGGTAAGTTTCACAAAGATGAGCAGGAATTTATTCAGACTAACCTGTTCTTTTCCAGTTTATTGTGCACCTCTCTGGTCCCCGCACTGAAATCATATGAGAGACAATCAGATGCAATAAGTAACAAATCTATTTTAATTGGGTTACAAACTTTAAAAAGCCAAAAACGGACCCTCCTGGTCTCCTCTTCCCCTCCATCCCCCTCATGTCCTCCATCAACACTCCGTTAGGTTGTGGCTGACACGTGGGTGGACTCTGATGGGGAAGCAGCGTGTGATGAGAGCCAGAGCTGTTGGTGCTGATGGATGCTGGGTACTGAATCTGGACCTGGGGCTGCGACAGGCTGGACTTGGCGTCGACCAGCTGATGAGCGGGCTCCACTTTGATCTGCGGGGAGGACATCAGGTGGGGGGCCGCTCTCTGCTGCTGCGGAGGCGAGGACACGGCCTCTTTCTTGAGAGGCGRGGGACTGCTGAACGACGTCGCCGCCGCCGCCGCGATCGGCGTCGAGAGTGGAAGCGGGGGGACGGAGGGCGTGGCGTTGACCACCGGCACCACGGGGATGACGGCGATGGGGACTTGAGGAGGTGGGAGAGAAGGCTGCGGGTGGGCAGGAGGGTGGTGAGGCTGCTGACGGGGAACATCTTCACCCCAGGCGGTGTGGTTGGCTCTGACAGGCTGGGGTGACGTCACAACCTCCACACGCCTGGACTCCGCCTCCCTGCTGATGAGCTCCTTCTCCGTGCGCTGATCATCGTCTGAAAGAATAAAAATAAATAAATAAATCAGTGAAGAGTAAACGAAAAAACATTAGAGAGATTAAAATRCAAACGACTGAGGATTGAGCCTAAAAATTCATTTATCAAAGCTGACATAATGCTAATTTATTAAACGCTAGTTTTTAAAGTTTCAACATTAGCATCTATTACAGTGTAAAATAAATCATATCAGAATGTAAGTTTGTATTTCTGTCTCTAGTTCCTTTTTAAATTGTGTTGTGAATTAATGCCCTGATGCAGCTCAGTAATCCAGGTAGAAAAATCAAAAAGAAAAATAAGTAAAGGAAGCCATCTTTGTGAAGAAGAAACGTCCATCGTTAAACAGAGGTAGAGGCTCCTACAATGCTGTTATTGCAACATGACCCTCTATGAACAATATAGCTAATCAAGGCACTAACGACCTATAGTTTGGCTGATGGCCCTCTTTTGCATGTGACCAACCTGTTTGTCCACCATGGATTTCGCGGATRCCATTTAGAGCCACCTACCGTAAGTGGCTCGCAATGGTTTGTGGGATTGTTTGGGGGCAAACAAAAGAAAAGTAAATGATGGGACAAGTTATAAAAGTTTAAAGTTTGGATTGTTGCGCATTTTAAAATGTTTATTTTGGTTCGTGAGGTACCAACTTCTAATCAGAAAAAGGACAAACTCGTGCAGAACTTTTACCTGCTCAAATGTTGGAATTAGTGCCTAAAATAGCAACYTGGAGATGCAAAATAGAGGCAAGGTTATACTGCTGTGCAATATTTTCACTCTTAATATAATGTAGTAATTACTATAGTATGGCACTATATTAAATCTATTGCCAGAGAAAATCCCAGTATATAGTGATCTTATTAACTGCATGATGAGCAGTGGGTCTGGGTGAAAATCATTTAATATAATCTTGAGGCAGGCTGACCTATGATTTATTAAATTCTGAGTATAAAACATCCTTTTCGCCACACATCAAATTTGGCTTAAATATTAATTCAAAATACATATTTTTTAACAGTAGTAAATGCATGTTATTATGATCTGTAGCTTTCAGTATGGTGTATATTAGTGTTAATAAATAAACTGTACACCATTATATGGTCAAGTTTTTTAGATAGTCCATACCTATATTTGTAATATTAAGTGGTCAAAATGATCTGTAGTCAGGAAATATGATCTGCAGCCCAGATCACTGTAAACCACATCAACATATTTAGCACAAGATCTACTAGACTGAGTGGTGACAATCTTGTGTTTTCTTTATTCTAAATATTTAAACTTGTTTTCATGTATCTGTGATCATTGTTGCACATATACACAGGTAAAACACACTACACCACACATGTTCAGTCATTTAATCCACACACCGGCACCGGACGCCCCCAAACTGGACCATGATGCTTTGCGCTAAGCAAAGGTGGCGGTATCTGCGAAATAGTCCCCGTGAAGGCGTAGCTTATAAGTCTGAGTTCACCTGAAACTCTCAGACTGAAGACGTCTCTCGGAGGAGACGAAACATTTCATTTAAGAAGAACCCATCCAGAGGACCTAGTTATTTTTATTTTGAATAAACATCTGAGGCACAAATTTAATATTTGCAGATAATCGTGACACGTCGATGCAGCCGTTTGAATCACAGTCAAATCACCAGGGGCCTAAAGATTTACACCCCTTAATCACCTGCCTTTTATTACAACCGTCAGATTAAAATCTTCAGATAATCTGAGCTGTCTCACTGTTATGTCACCTTGTTTGCTCAGTAAACATCCAACCCGTACAAAGAATGATGTCACCGAGGAACACGAGGAAACAAACTGTACCCGACTAAAAAAAGGCCCTTTAATGTAACAACGTGAACCAGTATTTGCTGCACTCCCTCGCCTGAGGATGTGGAAAGACCCCCGGTTGCCATGGAAACTGCATCATTAGGCACAGAAGATCCCAGGGATTCCTCAAAACCTTCCCGACGTCGACACGCAACTCGGACGTTTCCGAAACGAAAGAGAAACGGCGCACACGCCAAAAGGCGCAAGCTTCACTTCACCGGGGCAGGAG